GACGGCCTCGTGGTGGAGTCGCGGTTGGTTGTGTATACCGACTCTCATACCGGCGGTCCTCATAGCCCCGGTCCTCGTATCTCCGGTCAGCAAACTCCTGTGATAGTGCCAGGTCAACTCCAGGAGACAGAGACGGAGGAACTGCAGGTGTGCCATAGCTGGCTGGGTTTCGGATGTGTACAAGGTCGAAATCGCTATGCCTGCCGGGTCGCTGTTGGTGACTGGACTGTGACGCCTGTGACACTTGAGACAAAGTATTCGAGTAATCCTGAACAGACAGAGGTGAAGCTGCAGTAGGGTATGCGCCATAGTCCTGAAGACGATCTCTAGGGGTTGTGTGCACAGGAGATTCAATCGCGCTTTGAGGCATTTGGCTGGCATGAGTGTCCAGCGCCATTTCACTCTGGTACACCGCTGCCCGAGAGCTGTGTCTGTTGGACACCGAGGGCGAGTCCGGAACATCTTCAACGGTGGGCTGCATGGATCTGTGCTGAGGGCTATAGCCAGGGCTTTGTGACTGGTATCGCGACGAGGGCGATTCATAGGGCGAATCGTTTCGGGACGCGATAGGAATTGGAGCCGATGATGTTGGATCATAGGGTTTGAATACAGGTTGCCCGGGATATGCCGCTATTGAGTGTCTGTGAGCCTCGCTCTTAAGAACATCCTTTCTCATCGGCACCGGAGATTTTTGCGGCGAAACGTCGTACGAGCCGCGATGTGAGACTTCTGGCCCTACGCTGTTTTGCCTGGATCGATGGGCCGGAGGCGGTGGGGGTGCTTCGTCCTCAAAGGGCGGTTGTGAGCCTATCTCTGGGGGCAACTCGTGGAGCTCAGTAAACGAACCCTGGGCTGAACGAGAGTCTGGCTGGTCGTAGGGAGATGGTTGAGCCCGCTGCGAGAAGCCACGATCGTCTTGGTATCGTGCCGGAGCACCATATGACTCTCTCGAGCGATGGGCATGGCGGTGGGCTGAATGCGGTGAAGGTGTATAGTACTCGGGTTGCTGTCTGACGCCTTGGGGGTGAGGGGGTGTGCTGTACTCGACAGACTGAAGGGGTGACTGATTGGGAACGAAACCAGAATGTGAGGCAGACTTGCTGTGTGACCGAGGGGCAGCGTGATGCTGATGGGCTTCCGGCTGTGAGGCAACTGCAGCTGGGGGAGTGACGGGTGCCTCTCCTGTGACGGGGTCTGACGGCAAAGGTCGCCTCTTGACGGGAGTTCTTGGCTTGGCTGAGCCTGTGGCATCTTGCTCGGTGGCAGTCTGCTGCCTTTGCTTGGCTGCGGGTTTCTCAGGACGTGGCCTGGTATCGTAGAATGTGATTTCAACTCTGATTTCGCCAGCGTATTTGCCTCTGCAAGTCAAGCCTTGCCACATATCGTTCTGGCCGCCTCCCGGAACAATAATACCCTTCAAGTCAATCCACGACTCTCCAATCAGATCGGTCTTCTTGTCGTCGGTAAAAACAGATATCTTGAGCTGGTAGTAGTCTGGCGAGTCGTGGACCGTAAATCGAAGCTCTTGGTCCCTACATGGTCATGGTCAGCCTGTGCGAAGGGGCGAACTGCAAGTGTGCTCCGAAGGCACGCCAAGTACATACCACTTGGGGGTTTGGCCTCCTCGAATGTCTGTCGTCGTCTTCTTGGCCTCCTTCCCTAGCCTCGCAGCACAGTAAGGGTCCTGCTTGCCAATCGTCTTTCTGTTGGGCAAGTTCTTGGCCCTGTCGACAATGGCCACCAGAGTGCCGATTATGGGCCCGTCAACCGACATGTCGGCAAAGATGCCAGCCGTGTGGGCGCCGTTGAGGGCATATGACTTGGTCTTGGTGGCCATTTCCGCAGACGTGATTGCGTCTGTCGTCGGAGAGCTCGAGGTGTTCTAACCGGGAGCTCCAGATTCAGTGCTGCCCTGTGGTGGTAAGCCGACGAGACGATGGCGCTTCGGCTTGTTTACGTCGGCATCTGCCGGGTTGGGTCAATTTGAAAAGAGCGGCAGGGACAAGAGAGCGAAAGCCCAGCAATGGTGCAGGAAGATTCAAATCATGTGTAGAGAAGCGATATAAGGAATGCTATCCGTGTCGGAAACGGGGAGCACAATGTCCTGATGCAAAGACAAAGGACAATGGCATGCAAGAAGGGAAAAAGGGAAGAGAAGGCGTTGTGCTGAGCAGGCGATGAGCTAAGAATGAGAGGCGCGAGGCGCCCTGTTATGCTTCAGCTCACAAGCGATTCGTCGACGGGCAAGTTTCAAAGCAGCTGCGAGCTGCGAGCTGCAAGCTGGGTGCCGGGCGCAGGGTGCAGGGTATGAGAAGCTTCAATCAATGCTGAGTGGTTGGGCGGCCGGATGCGGCGCTGCAGTGCGCGGGCTCTGGTGGACCAAGCACGGTTGAAGCCCCCCTGCAAGCCTGAACATCAGCACACTGAACCGGGTGGCATAGTGCTGTAGTGGGGCCCCGGGTGGCTGGGCGGTTCACTGTGTTCAAAACCCGGTGGCTGGAGGCTGGGTTCAATTCAAGGCTCCAGTCCAGCCCAGTTCAATATGTACATATTGACTCCATACCAGCAAACACAATGTCGAGTGCCGCTCGACGGGCAAGAGAGAAAAACACGCGGTTAAAGTTTCTCAAGTTGATCTCCCCTGTCTCGTGCGTCCTCCGGTGCTTACAGGTTCCTGACCAAAGTTTACTAAACGCTCGCTGCAGTAGGCATTCGACAACTTTGGGACGTTTGAAATTGGCCCATTCAGGAATAGACCATCGATCGTTGTGCCCCACCGAGCGCAGCGGAGTTGCAAGATCCAGGGCGAATATGCAAGGTTAACGTGATTTAATTGCACTTCCCCCAGCAATCACGCCAAAAGGCCATTGCTCGAGACAAAACAACAGTCAGTACAATCGGCCCCTCGATCGATACCAATCGGCCCAGCGAGACGAGTCCAACGTCCTTTGCCCCCTCCCCATCTTGCGGCTGCACCGAGGATCGACAGCCATTTACTCCTGCAGCGCCTCCATGGCTAGCGTGGACGCTGACGTCGCCCTCGCGCCGTTATGCACAACATGGGCCGTCTTGCCCCCAACACACCAATCAGGCGTCATGATGCTCGTTGGTTTGCGCAGGAGCTTGCGCCGACAGATGTCAATTGATAAAAATAAACAAAAAGAGCTTGCGGAGAACTGCCACCAGGGTTCCCGCCTTGCGCGTGCCGGAACGTGGTGATGCCCAGGTGGGCCGTTCTCAAGTTTCATAAATGAGCATTTCAGCAGAACATGCTTCACGGCAGCACCTCGAGATTTCCACCATGAACGCATTATACCCATGGAAACCTTAACAGCAAACCTTGCTTGGGTGGCCAGGCACCAGGGTGAAAGGGGTCATGAGACACTGTACGGAGCACAATACTAGTACTTCGTACCCGTTTGCGTCGCCATGGCCACGGTGTCTCACTGGTCGCGCTAGTAAATACATAGTCTGTTACTATTTCCCATCGCCCTTTGTCCGGCATGTCAGGCAGGTTGTTGGATGGAAACGGCTTCCAGAAGCTTTCTCTGAGCGCTTGCTCCATGTGTCTAGAAGTAGTAATACTAGCACCAGGGTTTGTTCACCCCCTGGACCGGGGGAGGGTCAAGGTGACAACATCAGTGTCCACGACGATGCCGACAAAGTATCACGCCAAGCATTTATTTATCCTCTTTTGCTACCAGTCACAACTCCTGCCCAGCAGGTCCGCCAAGTCCTCGAGATATTTCCTATCCAAATCATCAAATCCATTCTCAATCGTGCAATCAACGTCAATAATAGCCACCACCTTTTTCACCCCACTGCCCCCAGCGCTGGCAAGAATCGGCACCACAATCTCGCTCTTGCTGTCACCGTCGCAGGCAATGTGGCCTGGGAACTTGTCCACGTCGGCTACCAGCTGCGTCTTCTGCGTAGCTGCAGCGGCACCGCAGACTCCACGGCCAAATTCAATTGTCTGGCAGGCAACTTTCCCCTGGAAGGGTCCGAGGATGAGTTGAGGTTTCGTAGACGAGGGGTCAAGAACGTAGAAGCCTGCATCCAGTGTTATGAATGCCTCTTTTCTATATTTGGATACGTCTCCTCAGAGGGACTTGGACTTCATACCCGCCCAGTTTACTTCCTTGCTTGGGGAAGGAAGGGACCTGTAGGCGTGCCACAGCAATGACGCGGCGTTGGCGAGATTGCTGCCAAGGTCAGAGATCTGCACGTCGACACAAAGCTGTTTACACAGTCATCTTACCAAACCTGGTATCAAATAAGTAAGTATTTGGTCAATCAGGCCACACGTTGGAGGTATGGTGTAGGCATCTCACCCAGTTGCGCTGATCTATAAACAAGCCCTCGGCCTGCATCAAAACCTGTTCATAGGCATCGTCTTTGGTGACGCCATGTGCAAAATTGGACGCATCAGCGTGAACCTACATATATTAGTGTAAGGGCAGAGCAAACGAGCCATGACGATGATGGTACCATTTTGACGATTTTTGATCGTTGAATTTTCCAGGATTTTCCAGGATTTTTTGATGCATCAGATTTAAGATCAGTTGCTTATGAAATTTGGGTAAAATTATATGTACGGCCATCGATGTCGTGATTTTTGAATGTGGGTATACTTTCTTTAACAGACGCCAAGATTAGTCACCGAAATGGACATGGGTTGGCCCACGCCAGGTGCATTCACATGTGTGGGACAAGTAACTATCAGACACTTATCCGTTCCAGATTATGCGCTCTAAAGGCATATTATGGAGTTGCTTGAATTTCCGTCTTGAAACTTTTATTTCTTATACATGTGTGTGCAAAGTACTCAAGACGCAGTTTACTATTTATGAGCCAGGCTGGAGCGATTCTTGCCTAAACATCTATGGTGCGGCATACACAATGCTCAGGGTTGCCTTGCAACAGGCCGAGCCTATCTCGCCGCAAATAACACACGATAATCACATAGGTCATGAAGGCGTTAAAACATAGTAATAGAGATGCCATACAGCGCTAGCACATCACGGGGAAAATCATCGGCGCCTGATCCTCCCAGGACAATTGGAGCCACTCCCGGCCAGTGGATCCAGCTGACCAATGAACACGTTGACCACCCACACGACATCGGAGCTCAAGTCATCATCATCACCGCCTACTTTTTTTCAAGCCAACATCACGAACCCAACAAAACTACTGCCATGAGTGCGCAAATTCCTTGGCGGCGCTGCACCCACCGCAGGACCTGCATCACCATCTCCAGGCCTATGATTTTACAATCCCACAGCTCCTATGCATTCTTTCCTGCTCACCAATGGCGCGCGGCGCACAACCAGGTACCTCCTCGCCGTGAAGCTCGACCTCCGAAGAGCCCGCTACTCAACCCTCCAGCGTCGACTCGGCCGCCGCCACTAGACGTGCCGCAGCGGAGCGCCTCCAATTCTACATTGCAGTATCTCTTCCAGCTAGGAAAGGGCTATTTGAAATTTTACAAAGATGGACTAAAGGCTGTCATGGCGAACCGCAGGCTGCTTAAGGAGAAGCTTGAGAGGACGCCAGCAGACGACCGCCCGTCCGTATTCAAGCCTCACTACGTCCCCAAGACCTTCTCCCGCGCGGATTGGGTCATGTTGTGGCGCGTGCGGCACGATATGCTGCGGCTGCCGCTCTTTGGACTCATGCTGCTCGTCATTGGGGAATTCACCGCCCTGGCAGTCATCTACGTCGACGGCGTGGTGCCGTACACATGCCGCATTCCAAAACAGCTGTACTCGGGCCTGCAAAAGGCCGAGGGCCGGCGCAGGGCTGCCTTTGACGAACTCGAGGCGCAATACCCCCACGGCGTACTGAGCCCCCGGATCAGCGCGCCCGTGGCCAGAAAACACGTCCTCAGGAGCTTGCATCTCTCGGGCATGATGTGGGATCGACTGGGCTTCACGCCCCCGGGGATGTGGCAGATCAAGGGCAGACTACGAATGGCATTCCTCGAAGGCGACGACAAGAACCTGATAGAGGACGGGGGCCCGGTGGGTTTGGAGACGGAGGAGCTGAGAATTGCGTGTGCAGAGCGAGGGATAGACGTTCTGGGCAAGAGTGAGACGGAGCTGAGGAGCTGGCTGGGGGATTGGTTGAGGTTGACGGCGGCGGAGGACATATCTGAGCGGCGGAGACGCATGGCCACGTTGTTGTTGACGAGGTGAGTTTTTTTCCCCAAGGCCAACGGTCCTTTGAGATGGGAAAGGTTACACTATTGCGCCGAGTAACCGGGGCGGGATTCGGAAAGCGTTTGAGAGCTGACTCTTTGCAAAACAATATAGGCCGGAGCATTGGCCCCAGCAGCGGGACTTTGCCGTTCCTGATTGGGAATTATAAGGGGTGGGATGTGTGGTGGTGGTGTACAAGTAGGATATTGAATCTTGATGGACGGAGGGATTGGCAGATGAGGCGCATCAACAAAGTTGGCACTGCATAGACAAAAAAGGAGCATTCTGGTCTCGCATCTCTGTTGTACAATATAAGCATAGTCTGCACCAGCTTTTGGGGAATTCGGAGCATCAAGGCTTTGGGCAGTTGATAGAAGCATGTAAACTACAATATGTGGGAATAACACGTTGGCATAACGTCAAGGGCACGTGAGAATGTCTGGTACTGATGCACATGGCGTCGCCAAAGGTCGAATCGATGTCCTAATCGAGTCCGAAACCCGGTGTCGTGCGCACAGCGCCCATCTGAGCACGCACTGCCGAGAAGGCTCTCCCAATGTCCAGATATCTCGGTGGAAATGTCGTGCTTTGCCCGGAATTACATACCAGAGAGTACACTCAACGTGCCTTCGGTATAACTTGACGCTCCGTTCGGGGAGCGGATCGCTAGCCCGCCCACCGCGCCTCCCCTAACGTCTCGACTCCGAACGGAGGCAGGTGCGGCAAACACACTTGACCCAAGGTACCCCGAACCCACTGTCAAGCAAGCCCCCAAGGGGTCAGAGACAAAAGCTGCGGGGAGGGACTGGACTCAGGGTGATAGCCGAGGGCCAGTAGTACATTGGTGCGGGGAGGACATGGGGAGAGCGGACACGCTTATGGAGTGCATGGCCTCGCTGTCCCAAGAGTTCTCATGAAATAGTCATCGCAGTGCCCATTGTCAAGGAGGTAAAAACGGAGATGGGCAAACCCCTAATACGGACACGGTCGCGACTTTTACTCTGGAGCAGTGGAGCTCGGCTGCTTTGGCCGCAGCTCTCCAGCAACGGCACATGATGTCAGGCCGAGGTTCCCATCACATGCCTATGGCGCTTCGCATTTGCTGCCCTCTCACCCCCAACCAGCCACTAACCGAAAATATGAACAGAGGGAAAGGCATTTAAACTTGAGATCCCACTTTGCCTCCGCATTCCTCCTTTCCGGAAAGCTTCAACTTTGCATTTACGAAAATCCCGTCGTGCAATCTTCATCTCGCCCTCTTTTTCTCCCTCTCAGTTTCAATCAGCTTCAATAGCCATCATCCAAAATGGGTTTCGCTAACGGTGCGTATTTCCACACACGCCCCCTTTGGCAATCTTGTCGTCCCCACGAGACCACGTCGCGCCCCCCCGGGAATTTCACATGCCGCCAGCTGCGTGGCATGTTGGCAATGGACGGAGGGGTCGGGACGGAGGCAATCAGCGACTGATGCGGGAAACGCGACAAGCCAAAACAGAGAATCAGGAAACAAGCCTTACTAACGAGCCGGCCTCAATCTCTAGCCAAGTTCCCTGCCTCGGCCGCTTTCGACGTCATCGACAGCGTCCTCTCCGGCTCCGACGCCGAGCGCAAGGACGCCATCAAGCAGGCCAACGGTGTCTTTGCCTTCACCCTCAAGAACAAGGCTGGCGAGACGGAGAGCTGGCACGTCGACCTCAAGGAGTCCGGCCGTGTTGGCACCGGTGTCGGCAAGCCCACTGGTACGTTTTTGCCAAACCCCCTCTTTTGACCTACAAAAATCTACCATGATACCGTCTTGTCTCGGGACCGATGCACAGATGGGATTAGTAGAGGAGAAGGGAGGAACGAATGGAAGCTGACTCGTTGCAAAAGTCACCCTGCTCCTCTCCGAGGAAGACTTTGGCAAGCTCGTCGATGGCTCTGCCAACCCCCAGCGTCTGTTCATGTCCGGCAAGCTCAAGATCAAGGGCGACATCATGAAGGCCACCAAGCTCGACCCCATCATGAAGAAGGCCAAGTCCAAGGCTAACCTGTAAATACACTCATTCACGGGGGATACCAAGGGTTGGGTTCACGGAAGAGGTGGACACCGGGCGGGTGTGTCCGAGGATTGGATGTAGAATTTCAAGGGGAGGCTATATTCTGTAACATAAAACGACGGGATTAGTTCACCGTTTGCATCGCGTGCGTTACGCATAGACGAAATACCAAAAATATCATGGTTGAAACTGCGGCTTTTCATCCCGTGTGTTGTAGTGCCTATCATGGGGGTGTGGCAGTCGTTTAAACCTACACCAATGTAAGCGTCATCGCCCATTGTGGAATCGATAACTGGCCCCCCCCCCCCCCCCCCTCCCTCCTCTTCCCCCCCCCCCCCTTTTCTTCTGCTCGCCAATCGTTTCCTTGGGCGCCCTCACGAGCTCGTTTTCAGTGACATGATGGAACATTGAAGCTTGGTGCTTTTTTTGTTCACTGCAGTTGGTTCATGTTCCATTTCGACGTCGAGTTTCCAAGTGCCGACGACAAATCGGGCGTCTTGCAGCCCGGATATATGTGGAGTTTGCCGCGCCACCAGGGATTGAACAGAGAGCCAAGCATGCAGAAAACATATTTACAAGAACAAGCCTTTTTTTTTCATGTTGTCATTCGAGATAACTACACGCTGACGAGACGGCGGGGTCCACATGTAGAAACAATCTTGGCTTTTGTTTGCTCTCAATCACAAAAGTATCCTTGTCGTATGCCGTCCATACCGCGTAGTATTCATTCAATATATACATGCGTCTTAAAAGTCAAAAGGCCTCAATCTAAAATCGCATCACAATAGCAGGGGGCTTATTGTTCAAAACTTCGTCAATCTCATCCATAATCTCCGGTGTCAGCTTATCCACGGCTGCCACGGCCTTGCAATTCTCATACACCTGCTCCGGCCGACTGGCACCTGTGATGGCGGTACTAACATTCGGGTTCTTGAGAACCCACGCCAAAGCCAACGTGCTCATCTTGATGCCCAGCTTGTCTGCAATGGGCTGCAGCTTGTTGACCTGCTCGATGATGCCGTTCCAAGTATCCTTTGTCGTGCGGCCCCAGAAGCCTTTGATAAACTCGACGCTGGTCTGGTTGAAGCGCGAATCCTCAGGAATACCGTCCTTGTACTTGCCGGACAGAATACCCTGGCGCATGGGGGACCAGACAGTCAGGCCTAGACCGCCATTCTCGCGGTAGAGGTGGGCGAATTCCGTCTCGACCTTTTCGCGCTGCAGCATGTTATAGGCAGGCTGTTCGGTGACGGGGCCAATGAGGCCGAGCTTGTCGGCGTAGCGCCAGGCTTGGGCGATTTCGTCGGCGTTCCAGTCGGATGTGCCCCAGTAAAAGGCCTTGCCGGTGTCGATGATGTGGTTGAAGGCGCGGACGGTTTCTTCCATGGGGGTCTGGCGGTCGGGTCGGTGGGCAAAGATGATGTCGACATACTCGAGGTCCATGCGCTTGAGAGAGGCATTGACACCTTCAACAATGTGCTTGCGTGAGAGGCCCTTGTTGTTGACAATGTTGTCGCCAAATGCTTGGCCCCAGTACACCTACAGAATCATGAGCACACCCCCTATCGATTGCACAGGAGACGGTAGCGGCGCATGTGCTCTCACCTTGGTCGAGATGACGAGGTCGTTCCTCTTCCAGCCAAACTTCTTGATGGCCTCTCCCATGACGATTTCCGACTCGCCGCCAGAGTACACCTCGGCGCAATCGAAGAAGTTGACGCCGCAGTCGTATGCCGCCTTCATGCAGGCAAAGGTGCCCTCTGCTCGCCATTATTAGCACCCGTGAAAATTTCCAAAACAAGGCTGGGCCCTCTAGACATGGTAAATTACCTCTGTCAACGTGGCCACCATAGGTGAGCCATCCGCCGAGCGAGATGGAAGAGACCTGAAGACCAGAACGGCCCAGGAATCGATACGTCATGGGGGGCGTGTCCTCCGGCCTAGACATGGTGGCAGAAAAGCAACAGAATTGGAAACTATGTGGTGAAACGAAGCACTCGAGGTGATGGGAGTCAAGACTCCAGAATGACAGCCAAGTGAGCTGGTTATATACCCCGCGGCGAGAGGATCATGTTGTGTGTCAAAACCCATGCCGAGCTAATGATCATCACCACCCCCACCATCGTAAGTTAGCCGCCTACCACAAAGACTTGACCCCTCGCGGCGTGATGGAAGTCTGCTGGAGCTGTTTTCCACGAGTCCCGACCCTGAATAACATTGAAAGCACCTGGTACTCTGCAATTTGCCGCATCTTCCACCAACGGGAGCAATGGGCTCTAGAGCCTGAGACTTCGGGGCGGAGGCACGTAGTTTTCTGACCGTTACAATTGCCCGAGGCGTGGTTGAGCCGGGTACATTTCGTTCGGATACACGTCCCGGTCAAGAGTCATTTGCTAATGTGGAGGATTTGTAATCAAATCGGGGGCCTGAAGGAGAATCCATGTGTGCCGTGCTTGCGCGGTTTTTAGGGTTATATCCGCCATGTTATTTCCAGGTACGTACAAGAAAAAGATGCTGCTGCTGCCCGTGATATTTTATACAAGACATGCGAATTCTGCCCCTGCCGTATCCGTGCGCCGGTCTTCCTATCCTGTGCTTAACCCGCAAGCATCTTTAAAGAGTGAGGTGCATTGCAGGGTAGGCTGGAATTTTAGACCCCGACCTGTCTTTGGCCCTTCGCAGCAAAAAGGTGCATCTGCTCCCTGCAAACAAAACGTGCCCCTCGAGGTAAATACATGCCGTCTGGCCCGTCCGGAGATGGTAACAAAACCGGCAGGGCATTCGTGATGTCAAGCATGATACGCAACGGAGTGCCGAGTAGTTACCGGTCGTCTGCATCCATCCGCCAGCCGGCTCAAGCAAAACACCAAATCTGGCCGAGGGGCATTAATTCCCATGCCACAAAAGACGGCACAATGCCTCGGAGACGCGCCAGCAACTGACACAACTCGAAGGTCACCGGCATCACTATCCCGCTCCGAGACTGGGCAGCACAGAACCGGTCTGGCCCATGAGGCCACATGTGGTCATGGCGTACGGAGTTGATGCACACATACATACATTACTACCCCGTATTATACTCTCGTATGGTTTCTGTGATGCAAGATCAAAGATTCCCGCGCTGGGGTTCCTAGACATCCAGAGCCATGGCGTGTTTTGAAAGGAAAAGTGGAAAATAGCGGGATACCCGATCAAGGACAACTGTATATTGCAATATGACGGTAACATACATAGGAAAAAATCAAAACATTTCATGCCTAATGTTGTCCCTGGAACCCTGCCGGGGTCTCTTTGGTTTGGAGTCGGCGAGCGCTTATTGGGGAGCCCTGGTGTTTCCAGACTGTGGAGGCTTTAGAGTGCACCCGCAAAACCTGGAGCAATTGATGCGCATTGACGGACCGCGAACCAGGCAAGATACATTGTTGTACATACAGCTCCAAATAAACCCTCTCTTTATGCAGTATAGACCCAAGGGCGGTGTACGAGATACGATATTCTGTAGTTGCTGATTGATGCTGACGAAAGGTGCGGACTCGCTACGTTGTATCTGGATAGCACCTCCACAAATAATAAACATATTTACCACTTCCAAGACGAGGGCCATGGCTTTCTTTTGTACCATACACACTGGCCTTTGCACAGGCACCAGGTACGGAGTACAGTGTGGCCCGGACGATACAATGTGACAAGGAGGATGAACCCGGAGCCAGCGAATGCGGACAAGCGCAATGAGCGCCTAATGCGCCGTGATAGCACTGGTCCGGACCAGATCCAGATCAAAATGAGAGGTACTACCACTCCATCAAGTATGTACATACGTAGCTGAATCTTGACCAAACGCCAATCATCAATGCATAAACCAGCCAATGGAGCAGGTACGCAAGCTGCCAACCACGTAATGTATTGTACTATGTATGTACGGTGATGCCAGTGTGTCGGTTCGTTCCTGATGGCCATTCTTACTTTTTATCCTCTGAGCTTGTGTTTTGACGCTTCGTTGGACCCCGTCAACTTGGAATTGACCGATCTGTTGTCTCGGACTAGCCGTGGGGTGATGGATTGCTTGGGTTGTTTCCTGATTGAATCGCGAAAACCACCTCTCCCTTCCAATTCTGCAAATTAAACCCTCGCCTGGCTTTCCTTTTGCATCGGCTGGGTTGGCCTGTGCTTGTTTGCCTGTTCTCCCGTGAGCCACAGAAGATCCTCACTGGCGACCTCAGTGGATGCGCACCCATGCCCATACGTATTGCACGGACGTACATACAACAACATGTACTTTGGACAATGAAGATGGTGGATCATTCAAGTTGGAAAAGACAAGTCTACAACCATGGTAAGCTATTCGATCTCCCGGGAGGTGTTTGATCATGAGTTCAGGAACGGAGTACGGAGTACTCGTCGAGGTAAAAGAAGTGAGTGAGACCGTTGTAAATGTATGTGGTGGCCCTGTCGTTATGGACCAACAATATCTTGATGCTTTATGCGTCTCATGTTGCTATCAACTGTGCAAAACTACGTCCAAGCGGACGTTTCGCGATGTTATGGCGATCGCGTTTGTCTGGGTTGGACATTGTTATTACAGGTTCCTTGTCATATGTCGCCGGCCAGCACCCTGGCCCTCGTTGTTTTCGGCCCACGATGCGAAGATAGGTTTAGTGGCTGGGGGCTCCAATCTAGAGTCATTTTTATCAGCACACATGTGAATAACAGCACCAAGAATAACACGCATCGCGCTGCGTGGCACAGGGTCATTTTGGATAAGCTCTGCCAAATCCAACGTCGACCTTGGTTGTGGTAAAAGACGGTTCTCCGTAGTATTAGTGCCCTTGCTTGGACTCAGCTGCGGGTATGCCACAAGTCCTGCACTTGGTCGCATGTCTCGTGCCCGAGACAGTGTGCCTGCTTGCTTTTCTTTCTTGTGTGGTTGATCTGGTGTCTTGCCAACACAACAGGCAGATCTGTGTGGGGACGCCGAACAACATACATAAACAAGAGCACGCCAGCATGCTGAGATGGCATCTGGAGGCTCGAATAGGCGCCGAATTGAAATGCTCCGGGTCGTGGAGGAGGCCGTTGCTTGGTATGGAGCGTAATTCAAGGCAAGATAAGATTGGGGCATTGTGCCCAAATGTTTTGGTGGACTGGAGGCGGGAGCCGAGAAGTGGGCCGGCCGACTCTCCGTTGTTGGGGGCTTGACCGTGAGGCTTGACCAAGTGGGCTTCAGTTGGCCAGGAGGCGCCGAGACGAAACAGGGACTTGACAGACCTTGAATGTTGGGGCGAGACTGTGTGCTGTCCTCGGTAGCCCGTCACTATTGTTGTGATTGCACGCATTGAGTTCTTGATGTCTGATACTTTCCCTGCGCCGTAGGTGCCTCATGGACAACACTGAACGGCTGCCTTGCATAATCGAGGCGTGCATGTGTCCGGGCCGTCCTCGGCGGCCTCCACAGCCCGACGGCCTAGCAGTCCAACAGTCAATCCAACCGTCCAACCGTCCAACCGTCGACAGCTCAACAGACCGCGCGGCTCCAAAAGCCGACATGGACGTGTCTGTCTGTCACCACGGACGGGCACGGCGTCTGGCCGGCGGTCGACTCAGGCACTGCTATTTCTCCGTCGTGGCCCATGATTGACTCGGCTGGTTGTTGTCTGGGCCTGCATTAAACCGACGCCAGCGCCCCAGCCGCCGTCCAGCCCCCAAGCCATGGGACATCTGGAGGCTTTGCAGCCACTGACCCCTGTCCTGTCCTGGCTTGGCGTCTGCTGAGCAGACATGGAACTGGAGCATCTGCAATTGCCCACCCATCATGCATTATTATTGCGCCGGCGGTGGCAGTCGGCCAGTCGCCAGGCTGCCAGGCTGCCACTGTGTCAGGCTAGTCCCTCCTGCGTGTCTGGAAGCATTCCCAGTCCAAAGTCATCAGCAGACTTCTCGTGCTGCCCTCGCCTCCTGTCCGTCCCTTGTGGCTGTCTTTCGCTGCCCGCTCCTCCACATCCACGACCCGGCATCACGGCCAGACAGACTTTAACTTGCATTCCACATTCCAACCATCCCCCAGTGCTATTTGCATGGCGCCTCACAAATGATTATTACTGTCCGCCGTCGCTGAGCCCTCGTTTCCGCCCTTACATTAGCCACGCGGGCAAGCAGCACAAAACAGCCAACGACAGCAGCCAGCAAATAACCAACTGCGTAGAACCTTGCCCTTCCCCCCCTTTTCCCGTACCCGTCCGTCTCTGGTCTCCTAGGAGCCTCGTTGCTCCACCGAGCTTCTGCTTGATCGTTTCGTCCCGCCCGACAACCACACACCGGCGACGCAACTTTTTCCTCATCGAACATCGTCTTCTCAGCATCGACATCGACATCGACATCGACACCGACACCGACACCGACACCCCCTTGTCAGCGACGCCAAGGCCTGCCACAGGGCAAGCCATCACCTACCGAGAGCATGGCTTCGTCGTCGTCAAACGTTGTCGGTGTGCACTACCGCGTGGGGAAGAAGATCGGAGAAGGCTCCTTTGGCGTCATCTTCGAGGGAACCAATCTGCTGAACAACCAACAAGTGGCCATCAAATTCGTGAGTTCTTTGTCGACAAGGCGCCCTGCTGTGCCTCTGGCTGTCCGTCTCATTGCCGACCGTTGACAATTGCTTTTAGGAACCCCGTAAAAGCGACGCTCCTCAACTCCGAGATGAGTATCGGACATACAAGATCCTCGTCGGATGCCGTAAGCTCCACCTCGGTTGACCTTGTTGTCAACCATGTTTGTATTTTGTAACACGCCGCCGTGCTAACCAGTTTGCTAGCGGGCATCCCCAATGTCTACTATTTCGGCCAAGAAGGCCTTCACAATATCCTGGTTATCGACCTGCTAGGCCCGTCTCTGGAAGACCTTTTTGACCATTGCGGTCGTCGATTCACCATCAAAACTGTTGTCATGGTTGCCAAACAGATGCTGTCTCGAGTCCAGACGATCCATGAGAAAAATTTGATATATCGTGATATCAAGCCTGACAACTTCCTGATTGGCCGCCCCGGCACCAAGTCCTCCAATGTCATACACGTCGTCGACTTTGGCATGGCCAAACAATACCGTGACCCCAAAACCAAGCAGCACATCCCTTACAGAGAACGAAAATCTTTATCAGGAACCGCCAGATACATGAGTATCAATACTCATTTGGGACGCGAACAATCCAGACGAGATGACCTCGAGGCTCTTGGCCATGTTTTCATGTACTTCCTCCGGGGGGGCCTTCCCTGGCAAGGCCTGAAGGCTGCTACAAATAAACAAAAGTATGAGAAAATTGGCGAAAAGAAGCAGACTACCGCAATCAAGGATCTTTGCGAAGGCTTCCCGGAAGAATTTTCCAAGTATCTTACATACGTCCGAAACCTTGGCTTCGAAGATACCCCAGACTACGATTACCTCCGCGAGCTCTTCACTCAAGCGCTGAAGAACACGGGCGAGGTCGAGGATGGCGAGTACGATTGGATGAAAATCACCAAGGATTCGGGAAAGGGATGGGACTCGGTCAAGAACCATGGAGCTGGCTACCTCCACAACCCAAACGTCCGTCCCGGCCCTTCTCAAATGGAACTGCACAGTGGCCACCGTCCTGGAAATACCAACTCTCATCAGCAAGCACAGAATCTTACCGTCGGCCGTTTAAACGCCGCACAACCCCCTCCTCCGTCACCGATCAAACCGATGGGCAACAGGAAAGATCGGCCAAGCGGCCTCGGTACCACGGGGGCGCAGAGAGTCAGCGGCGTGGGGGGTCTCCGAGGCGATTTGGGTACACCGGCTGGCTCGACTCAAGCTCAATTCCAGAACAGCACCCAGAACCTACCGCAGAGGGGACAGCAACAGAGCCCCATGGTGGCAGCCGGCCAACCTAACCTTCGTCCTGCCGAACCTCAGCCTAGCGGTTTCCAGAAGTTCATGAAGACCATCTGCTGTGGTTAGGTGCCTCCCATCAGCTTTTGGGAGTGTTTTGGTATATAGTGCAGTGCCAGCAATCCAGAGGCTGTTCAACTCGGCCGTCAACCTGCCACGACAAATGATTTTCGCCGACGACCAATGTCAGCTCCCGAATCGAAAGATTACTTCTGCTTGAGTTACAATGTCTTGGACAAGATGGCACTTGACTATAAACTGCCAAGAGCTAACCCTACCGCTGTCCGATGGCGGCGGGAATCGAGTGCTGAAACGCGGAAACATCACTACAAGAGCTGTCAAAGACGGCAACGAGCTCCAAAACTACACTCATATCGACCACCGCCGGCGTGGGGAATATCTGATGGGCATTCCGCACCTATGGGGGCACAAACTCTTTTTACGACTAGCATTCAGAAAAAGCGACAAAAAAACTCCAGGCAGTCTTACTAAAGACGGCCCTACGGAAACAAGGGTTGGAAATTTCCTAGTTCCATTTATTTTTCACGTCAGGCATTCCACAACGAAACCATACTTAAAAGCCACTTTCAATGTGCAGCGAAGCACGGCGCAAGACGGTAACGACAAACAGGTAGCATTGGGTTTACTCGCGATATTATCATTTTTAGTTTTTTTTTTTCTCACCCCTCCACCGTACAACCTCTCACTCACTCTCACAAGTCACTCTCACTCAGAGTTATTCTACTGCTACGCCATTGTGTAATAAAAAAAATCTGCAAGGGCTTCATGTTTTGTATTCCTGTCTAGTCGTACTAGAGCGACAATTGGTGGGCGGGGGAGGTTGTGCACAAGATGCGATTCTAGAAGTTATGGAAGTGCCGATAACACAGTAAGAAGGGAGACAAGGGCAATTGTAGCGTTGATGGGAATATAAGGATGTTCAGGAGTTCTCTTATGGTATACATCGTAATGGAATAAATATTTTAGTAACATCATACAACGTCTCGTATAGATCTTCTCAAAAAGGGGGGGGGGAGGGTCATGACATTGGCTGTCCATCTTCTGGAATTTTTCGTTCCTTGGAATACATAACTAGACCTCTCCGCATTATCACTGCAATTTAACACCATTATGTATGCCCATGTCTCCCTTCTGTGTAGTAAATTTGCATCCCAAAAGTCCCCACCCACCGGATCGTTCTACCTGAAAAACCTGAATATCTTCGGAACCTTTTGACGGGAGTAAAAAAAAAGCAAGCTAAACACATCACGTCTGCCTCCTAAAAAGTAAGTCCCCAACTCTAAATGGAGTACGCTACGTGAGCTTCTGCTTGATGAAGAAGGATCGGAGATGTGACAGTTGCCAGGCGCAGGTGATTCCGATGACAATGAGCTGGATGATGATCCAGCGGACGACGCGGGCGTTGGTAGATTCGGACTGGTCTCTGAAGTCGGCTTCTCGCTCCTGTTTGGTTTACAGCCTCAATGACGTGTTCAATGATCAGACTGGGGGAGGGAGCGGGGGATGATTTGCAGCGGTTGTATGGACAGTTTTAGGAGCACAAGAGAAGAAGAAAAGAAGAAACGTACTCTCTGGAAGACCTGCTCGCGGCGAATATCGTGCAATCTGGCGTTTAGGTCCTTGACGCGGGACGCAATGTCCTGCAACTTGTCCTTGTCGCTGCTCTCAATCTGGCCCGTCTCGCCGATAACAAGGTCGAGCTTCATCTTGATGCCGCCGTTGGGGCTGTGCGCCGAGAGCCATGCCGACCGGCCGGAGGTGGACGAGGGCACGAAGCAGATCTTGTGGTCGCCGGCCTCGTGGGCTGTGAAGGTGAAGCGGCCCGAGGCGGAGCCGCGCTGGGAGACGATGCGGTGGTTGTTGTCGAAGACTTCCTGTGCAGGTGTCAGCATCTCGTTGATGAAGATTGTGCACGTGCTGCTGCCCTCTACCAAGGGGCGCAGATGTTGTTGGCGATTGAGATTGGGGGAGGAAAACTGGAAGGGGTATTCGTCGTGGCGGTGGTGGTCAAGGTGACACGTACATCCACGGAAATGTAGATTGTAATCCCATTATGCTGCTGCCAAGAATTCACCCGGTCGTCGTACTCCTCAGCAGAGTAGTGTCCCACGACAAGCGTATCCTTGGGCAGCTCCTCGAAAAAGCATTTTGGCGAGGCGCCGTCGACGAAGAAGTAGAGAGCCTGTGCGGCGGATGCCAGCGACAGCAGGGGCAGGAAAGTCTTCATGGTGTGTTTCTATGATCGTAATTAAACCGTGTACTGTAAAACAAAAGGGCACGCTTTGATGAAGTGGAAAAAGAAATAGGCGGTCGTCAACGTCTTAATCCGTTGTGCAGCGCAAACAGTTGCAAAATTGATTGCAGTTATGGTGTTTCACTGCACCATCAGTCTTGATTCCTCGCGAAGCTGCCACGTTCAAAAAATGGACCTCCTTTCGCGGGATATGTCAGGGGGTTCGCTAGGGGAAGGAGGGCAGTGGGGTCACGTGCAATTGAGACTCTGATGGGCAAACCTTGGCCAAACCTTCGCGTCATCCTCTAAGCGCCAGCCGATATCAAAACCTCATTCGAGAGTCTACCACCAAGCCCTTTTCGACAGTGGCGCGCAAGTTAGTCGATGCTCATTCCCATTAACAGTTGTGGATCGTTTCGAAGTAGACAAGGTTGAGGCTATCTTTTGATGCCTTAATGCAGATGGCATAAGGCTGTCTTCGACCGCTACTCCCCCCCATTTCTATCGCCATCTGAAATCTCGCCCGATTGCGCCCGACCATCTGCGAAACGAGCGAAAATGACGTCCTCTGATGTGCGCGACGTTCTCAACCTGGGAGACAGTTCCTCCGGCCCGCGACCGTCTAAGAAACAGAAAATCGGGCAGCCGAAACCGAATCTCAAGGGTCTAGCCAGAGAAGTCCTCAATCTCGGAGGCGATAATCCCGTATCGATAATACCGGCCAAGAACCAATTCAAGAAGAGGCGCCTTGGGGGTCGGAAACCGGCTGCGCGATGGGAACTTCGCGAGTTCCGCAATTCAGGCCGCGATGATAGGTCATTGATTTTGCGGCATTGGCGACGGGTAGATACCAAGGATCTCGCCGCATCTAGTGGCGAGCGCCAGCAGCAGCTCGAGGCGCAACTGCAAGATGGCGGACAGGAGAAAAATGGAGAGAAGAAGGAAAGCGAGGCGGAACGAGACATAGAAGACTCGGCATTCGCCAAGTTCAACGTGAGGATCCAGGTCCCTCAATACTCGCAGGACCAATACCAAGTCTCGCTGCAAAACGAGGACTGGACAAAGGAAGAGACAGACTATTTGATGGAGATGGCAAGCGACTTTGATCTCCGTTGGCCACTTATCTGGGATCGATACGAGTATCAACCTCCCGCGACTAATGGGGCGACCGACGCGGACGGGGACGAGAGTAAGGCGATTGTCCCCGCTACGAGGCCTCGGTCAATGGAGGACCTAAAGGCTAGATACTACGAGGTTGCTGCCAAGATGATGGCCGCCCAGAAACCGGTGCAGTACATGACACAGCAGGAATATGCGCTCCATGAGACCATGGCGCATTTCAATCCCAAGCAAGAGAAACTGAGGAAGGAATTTGCAATGAATTCCATGTCGCGATCAAAGGAGGAAGCCCGAGAAGAAGAGTCGTTGTTGCTGGAAATCAAGCGGATAATGGCGAGGAGTGAGCGATTCAACGAAGAGAGGAGAGAGCTGTATAACCGGTTGGATTATCCTAGGGCCGAAACGGACATCAACCCATTCAAGTCTTCGGCTGGACTGCAGACCTTGCTGCAGAATCTTATGAGTACTGACAAGTCAAAGAAGAGAAAATCCATCATGGGCACCGACAGCCCGGCTGGCCCAGGACCTGGCGCAGCTGGAGCGGCTCAAAATGCAGCAGCTCCAGAATCAGGTAAACGAGAGAGTGCTGCTGTGTCGAATGCTGCGACTCGTGAATCTACGGCAGCAACGTCAACACCCACCGCTGCCAGTAAGAAGGCTCAACAACAAGAGAAGCAGCAGCAACAAGCCCCAGAGCGCAGGAAGCTCAACAGCCAGGAAGAAGCTGTATATGGCGTTACACATCACGACCGACTTGGCTCGGGACCTACGTTCCGGACCGAAAAGATCAACAAGCTCTTCTCTCATAAGTCAAACCAGCAGCAACTCCGTATTAACAACACTCTCAACGAGCTGGATGTTCCGGCTAAATTAGCAATGCCAACTGCTGCGACCACTCTGCAATATGAACAGCTCCTGGCTGCTGTCAACAGTTTACTGGACGCGCGAAAGGTATCAGACAAACTCGATGGCGAGATCAAGATCGAGCAGGCTAAGAAGGCAGAGCGTGAGAAGAACCAAGGCCCGGCTGCCCCTGAGAAAGAGACTGCTCCGGCGGACAGCGAGAGGAAGACTGACGACGAGGTTAAGAAGCCTGATGACGCTACTACCTCCGGTGATCAGCCAGAGTCTGCGGACAAGGCTGCCGGCCCGGCTGGTGAGGACAAGGACAAGGCCGACGATGTCAAAGACCAACAAGTACCACCTGCAGGGACGGGTGACGGCGCAGAAGAGTCGACCTCCAAATCAGAACAAGACCAAGAGGCCGCCGCCGCCACGGAGAAAGTGACAGCAGTCGAGCCGGAAAGGGAAAAGAGCGCTCGGCCGGGAAGTAGCAGTGGTGCCCACAAACGAAGTGCCAGTGTATTAAGCAGCGTGAGCGACAAGAGCGCCAAACGACAGAAGAAGTGATCATGTACCTCACAAGTACATTTTACTCAAGCCGTAGGCGCCGTTGTTGACGACGCCAAAAGTCTCCCCTGGCCCCTTTTCCTTGAAAAATTTCCTCGGGCGTTTAAAATAGTAAACGAGAAGGGTCACTCGGAGGGGGAAAAGGGGGGGGGTTTGGGTTTACGGGCGTACGGGCGGGCATCTGTAACTACTGTAATGATGAATATGCAAGAATTTCGTCCCTAGATCCCTTCATCTCAAAAGTGCCAGAAGGCTCATCATGGCCCCGTTAGGGACAAGAGCCACG